TCGAACGGTGGCTGCGCATGATGGTTTATAGTATTTTTAAAATAATTATATAAAATAATTGACAAAATAAAACGAGCTAAAATTTTTTTTGGATATTGAATAAAACTAAATTTACGGATTTTATCGCGTTTATTTAACTAGGTACTTTTACTTATTTTTAATTCCCGACGTTTCGGGTGCTTTACAGTCTCTGTTACATAGGTCAAACGAAAAGATCCATAAAAACCCGCGTGAAAGAACATATAGCTGACGTGAAGCACCGACGCTCAGGGAAGTCTGCAGTCTGCGAACATGTTCAAGATCGTCCCCACCATTACATTCGTTTTGATAAACCACAAATTCTCGCAAAAGAACACCGATTCCTACCAAGGATGATACGCGAGGCTATTGAAATTAAAAAACATCCAAATTTCAATAGAGAAGATGGATGGGTGCTGCCACCTGCTTGGGATCCTATAATTAACAAAATTAAACCCAAACCTAAGCATACCACTGCAAGACTTCATGATACTATAAGCTCGTTTTGCGTAAATCGGACCAAAAATTAATATTCAAAAACTGAAGGTAGCCGGACTAACTATGACATTGGGACGTCAAACATCTCAGTCCCCCCCCGTGACCATGGTTGCTGTAAAGCACCCGAAACGTCGGGAATTAAAAAAAAATAAGTAAAAGTAGTTAAATAAACGCGATAAAATCCGTAAATTTAGTTTTATTCAATGTGTAGTGTTCGCGTAAATTTAAGAAATCATTTTTTTTGGATATTTAACATTACATGTATTTTGATAAAAAAAATTAAAATAGATATGTTTGTAAGCAAATACATGGAAAAAATTACATTGAAGTAGACAATTTTGGTGATTTTATAATATTATTTTATAATATTAAATCGAAATATTTTCGTAATTTAGGTTTTGCTATACACTAAAAGACTATATATCCCATTATAATAACGCTTAAAATAAAGTATTTTGGCTTATAATAATGGTTGTATTCAACCTGAAAGATAACTCTGATGCATATTTTCGTAAAACACAGTGAAGGGATTGTCTTCGCCCTAAAAAACCGTCATTAAAAACTATGATTTTGCATTGCTATGTACTAAATAAAGACTTCATCTTTCTAAAGCCCTAATTTTCAGCAAATAATCTCTTCACGTCGTTACGATATCGTCTTTGGAAAAACCATAAAACACGTAGTTTTTGACGCGAAACGCATATGCCCTCTTAAAGGCCCCGAAAGAAAAAAGAAAGGCCTTAGAAGAAAGTCATTTAGTTTATATTGATGCAGTTGATACGTAATTTTCAAGTATCTAATTATTTTATTTAGGGACACTTCAGTTATTCAATGTGTCATTAGTCTTTTACGTCATTGATCCCTTATATAATTACGGCAAACTTACTTTAAATAAATTGTGGTTAACTTAGTAAATTATCCTGATTACCCCTTAAGTCCTTGTACTAGACATATGAAAATAGAAAATATGTCATTGAAGTAATTTTACTTCAACGGCATAGCAGTGTGTTATATTAAAAGAAATTTTATCGTACTCCCATTTCTTATGTTATGTGTTATAAGTACGTTTAAATGGCAAAGGAAGTTTACTTGGCGGCGTTTAAGTAAATTTAACTTACTCTGAAATGAGGCCATATTACTTATCCATCACTTATTTCCCAAAACAGCCTTCAGAGTATCATACAGGATATGAATTAAAAAAAATGGATAAGGTTTACATATCAAGTTATTTGATTGAAATCGGATGATAAATTAAAAAGATACGAATTTTTTTTGTTTAAAAAATAAATAAATATGGCTTTTTCTCGAAATGGCTTTTTGGTGCTCCAGTAACTTTGCCTTTCCAGTGACGATTATAATTTTTTTTTTTTGGTAAAATTCCCCTCCTTCGGTTTTAAATTATTTTCTCTTTAAGTAAACGGTGTATTTTTTCAAAGTAGTTTTATTTGAAAGTTAGAAAGATTAACTAGCAATAAAAAGTAAAAAAAACCTACGATATCAAGCAGGAAATTTGTCAAAAAAATAATAAGATAAGATAATTTTTTTTGTTAAAAAAATACTTTTCTTTTTAAATTTTGGTCTGTAACTTCAAAACTAGTACGTTGAGATAACCTTTTTGCATGTTTTATTAAACTACATGGCTTACTGTACAAGTTCTCCAAAATAACATGCGTTCTATCTCTTTTCTTTTAAAAATAATAATCATCAAAGAATGCCATCGGTATGTTGATTTGCGCTTATGCGCCGGCACCTACCTCTAATTTGAACACCCCTGGTCAAACAATAGCAGGTAAAGATAAAAAGAGATAGATCAAGGAAAGGCGAAACAAGTGAGTGAGAGAGTGAATTGTCGTTTGAATGAGATTTGGGTCTCGTTCTCGTAAGGCATGCAGGCAGCTTTAGCTATTTTAAACAGTTCATCTTGTAACGTTACCTAATTTGCACGTTGAATACGTTCACCATTTTTTTCGTCGTTATGTCTTCTACGATAGACTCATTGTCTGCTCGTGAATTAGCTGACATTCATTACATTTACGGGTTTTGTGATGGCAACGCTCACGCCGCCTCTCGAGAGTATCATCAGCGATTTCCGACAAGACCTGCCGTTGACTACAGGGTTTTCTTAGCAGTACATCGAGAATTAAGTGAAAATGGACTGCATCGCCCACATCGTGAACGTGCTCCTACTGTACCGGTGGATGTGGATGAACAAGTGTTGCGGTTGGTGTGCCAAGACCCCACAATTAGTACTCGACGAATAGCACTCCAATTGGGGATTAATCACGTCCAAGTGTGGAAAATTTTGAAAAAGGAATATTTGTACCCCTTTCATTTTCGAAGAGTGCAGAATTTGCGCGAGCCAGATTACGTCGGAAGAAGTGTTTTCTGTTCGTGGCTATTGCGGCAAAGACGATTAGTCCCGAACTACTGTGACTACTGTGACCGTATTTTGTGGACCGATGAAGCAAATTTTAACAGAACTGGAATCACAAATTTTCGAAACCTTCACTTGTGGATGCCGGAGGAAAAAAATCCCTTAGCAGTTAGGCCAGCGTCCTTTCAAATCGAATTTTAGAATAATGTTTGGGCTGGAATGATAAGTGATTACTAAATCGGACCATTTGTTCTTCCGTCAAGGTTGACAGGCCCAGCTTACCTAACATTTCTACAAGAGTTACCTGAACTGATGAGTGATGTGGATCTACAAACAAGGAGGAGGATGTGGTTTCAGCATGACGGCGCTCCAGCTCACTTCAGCACCATCGTGCGTGATTATTTAAAGTTAAACGAACGATACAGAGACAGATGGATTGGACTAGGCGGACCAGTAGCGTGGCCGGCACGAAGCCCTGATATGATCCCCCTAGATTTTTTTGTGGGGCCACATGAAACAGATTGTGTACAGTACTCCAATTAGTACAAGAGCAGAATTTTTACAAAAAATAATGGCTGCGGCTAGTCAAATAAAAGAAAATCGTACTGTATTAAAAAAACAGTACGTAGTGTGGCATTACGTGCAACTGTATGGATGAAAATGGTGGTCATTTTGAAAATTTAATAAATTAAATCATTTTTCTACGGTTTTTTTTGTTTTATTACATAATTTTGTCAATTAAATCATTATTAAATTACTTTTGAATTTTGTGCTCAGATTACCTACCTTATTTTTAGTGATTATCTTAACAACGACAAGAGAAGTATTTTTAACAAAAAAAAAAAATTATCTTATTATCTTTTTGACAAATTTCCTGCTTGATATCGTAGGTTTTTTTAATTTTTATTGCTAGTTAATCTTTCTAACTTTCAAATAAAACTACTTTGAAAAAAAAATACACCGTTTACTTAAAGAGAAAATAATTTAAAACCGAAGGATGGGAATTTTACCAAAAAAAAAAAAAAAAATTATAATGCTTTAATTTTTAAATAGTTTACATAAAAAAATTGTTTTCGATTCTTTACCGATATTTTTTTATTTTGGTATCCGCACATTTCGTTTGATCAAGTGTAAAATTAACACACACACACACACACACATACACACACTTATATATACACTATAGAGCGGATATTGGGAACATTTGCATACCAAAACTGTGAGCACGCGCGTGTGCGCTGAATATTTATTTGGAAAACATTTTAGCTATTTCCCATTAGGTGACGCTTCTAAATATAAGGTTAAAACCGGTTTTAGGCACGTCGTCAATTACTAACATATTTTTAAATAAATAGTGACGTTACTGGATAACAGAGGGCACTTATTACAAAAAAATTTCTTTCTTCTAGAATAATCGACCAGAAATAATAAAATTTAGTGGTTGTTTGGTAAATATACATTATTCTTAGGATAATAAACCGAAATCATGTTCATTTTTGCTTCATATCGTGACTTACTATACCTCAATGCACAACCGGGCATATTTTCTTTATAAATATTTTTTAAATTTATGAAACGAATGCGTCTTGACCTTTCGGTGATGTCACTTAGACTAAATGAGAAAAATCGGAGATATATCCTCCAGGACAAAAGTTACAGATAACAATTTTGTTGCTGATGTCCGGTCTATTACTACTTAAATGTCTTTGATTTAAATCTATATATTCATCACTTAATTGCTCCTGCCGCATCCAGGATATGCGATCTGTTTAAAATTAAAATTTTTGATAGGCCCTGGCTATTTGTCGCAACAGGCCAAATGTGAATTGACATATAATCAAACATTGACGTTTAAACAATATGGTCAGATTTAGTTGACAATTTCATGACATGGTCGGCCACATCATGAAGTGATAAATTCTAAGATCTGGCTGCAACATACATACATATTCCTAATTTAAGCAAGCAGTTCTTGTAGGTTACTTGTATGAAAGTAATTGGTTTATCGTCAACGGCTCTCACGGCAATTTAGATACAAGAAACTAGATAACACTAGAGTAAATATTTTTATGATATTGCAAAAAAAATTACGGCAGTTGATAAACCTCACCTTCCGTATCTGCGCGCATTTGGCATTTTCTGTGAAGCCAACCATGTCTTCTGGCGAACAAACTTTCACGAACGGGAAATCGGACCTCTTCGCTAATTCCGCTGCCAAAGCTGTCTTCCCGCTGTTGGGTGGTCCTTCTAAAAGGACTGCTACAAGACCTGTTGGGCAAAAGAATACTCTTGTGCAATAATATTTGATTTCACATAAAATAGTAACATAAAAACTAAAAACCTGAATTCAACTGGGCACAGGCTCTACACTTATGAGAAGATTTTGGAGCAGGGAAGAGTTCACCCCGCAACATACGTGTGGAGTTTTTTTACTTTCTTGAATTTTTGAATGAACTTAAAATTGCAATTAACAATTTCATTGGATAAATAATTGAATCAGGCGTGACTTTGCGGAAATCCATTATACTAAAGTTGGTAAGAATTACCACGCAAAGCAATATCCTTACGGTGGCTGACCGCTAAGCTGAGTGGTCAGCCACCGTAAGGATATTGAGCAGATATGTGTGAGGTCCACCGTAGAGTCTACATCATCTGAGGATGCCTCATGTAGAGGCGAAACACGTATCGCATTATCGTCGATGGTGTGTCTTTCCTAGTGTAGTGGTGTTGGGAGTAGTTGTGTTGGGATTAGTGGTGACGGGATTAGTGAACGCAATTGAGGGAGGGAGAGAGGTGCTCTTCAAATTAGGTACGACACATCATTTTATTATATTGAGCGGATAAATGCGAGGCAATTCTTAACAACTTTAGTATAATTTCATTGGAGTTGGAGTGGATCAAATTTGGTTTGCTTGCTTGCTATGAACTTTAAGGTGAACGCTTATGTTTATTTTTATAGAATAAGGGTGACAAACAAGCACATAGTCCATCTGATAGTAAGTAGTTGCTTTGGCACATATTAAGAATCAAAATGCAAATGCATGGCCACCCCCGAGGACTGAGATGGAATGGCTTGTTTCAAGTAAAAAGGATCTCCGGATCTCTACATTCACCATACAAAACACAGAAGCATTAAGCTGCTGTTTTACACTGGTATTCTGTGAGAGCGTAGTCCTATTCCGAGTTAGACATAATACAAAATCGGGCATTACGAGTAATCGGAGGATGCATTAAAACTACTCCTATAAGAACCTTTTTGGCAGGGAAATTCATTTTAAAAGCTAAATCAATAAGAAATAACATCACACTAAAATTATTGAATGAATTAGCACATTTTTAGAAACAAAAAATATTGGCGTAATAAAAAGAAACCTTTACTATTATTATCTGTGTGTGTAGTCAAAAATTTGAAATGTTTAATATAAGTACATGGGTCAGTAACATAGGTTTAAATAACATAGTTGATTTAAATATTCCGTATATTGCACAAGCTAAACGAAATTACAACAATTTTAGTCTAAAAGTAATATGTATGGACTACATTAATAGGCAGTATGAAAATTATTATAAAATATTTACAGACGGCTCTAATGATTCAGGCAGAATCGGTGCAGACTTTTTTGACTATGTAATCACACAATGTAATCTTAGCTTACAATTTAAGATAGATAGTAGTATATGCATCGTGGAGGCTGAGCTAGTAGCAATATGTTAAGCACTGTCATACACTGCATCACTACCGCAAGATAATATTGTGATATTGACAGACTCAAGAGCGCACTCCAACACTTGGCTCGGTGCACCTTGGGTACATGAGGCACACCAATAGCCTACACCGTTCTGGATACTATACATGGGTTAACATCCAGGTCGAAATTGAAAGTTGCAGTGGATTCCATCTCATTGCGGCGTGGAATATAATGAGCGAGTAGATATCTTGGCTAGACAGGCTATTACGGATGGCATCAAATACAACATATTACCCCCATTACACTGATTATATTTGTATTATAAAAAAGGCTATGTTACAACCTATGAAAAGAATATTTCGATTTACGTTCAAAAGAAAAGGGTATTTGGTACAAGACGGTACAGCCACATCCGCCTAAAATACCATGGATTGATAACCATAAGCTATCGCGACAAGATGCAGCAGTGATAATGAGGCTTCGTACTGGACCCATTCCGTCTAGAAAGTTTGCATTCCTTATGAAAAAGGTCCAGTCACCGAACTGTGATCAAAGCGGTGTTCCAGAGGACCTAATGCATGTCTTGATGGATTGTGCCCACAACGCTGCCTTTCGTATTCCTATAATGCCACCACATTTTAAAAGACTTCGCTGATTGTAATATAATTTTAGCTAAGCCACATTCTGATGATATAAAAATATTAGTCAAACTTTACAAGGTGAAGTTCTCGGATCGATCACTCACTTTTCAATGTGATTGATCTGGGAACTTTTCATTTCAATTTTTGTAACTAAATGCATATGTTCTTCAACTTTCTTTAATTAATTATTGATTTGAGAACTTTATAATGTAATAAGTTTAAGTATACCAAATGTAATTTTTTTTTGGTGATGAATTAACAGAGCGACATATTCATATTGTGATTGATGTGTGTGATGTGAGTGAATGAGCTTTCATTAAAAAAAAATAAAAAAAATCACTACTACAAACCCTATTCGCTGTGTTGACAGACTGAGTAAGTTTAAACATTCGATTAATGTTCAAGATCATCATTATAAAAAATCGTTTAAATTTTAATACATATTTATTTATAAATAGTGTGCAATTTGGCATTTTCTAAATAATTTGCATGCGAAATTTGGAAACGATTGGAACGTCAAAACACATCTCGTGTTGACATTTATACGTGTGAATTGACATGTTAGTGACATTTTAGTGGCTACACTGGCTCCGCCCACTTCCCCGTTCTATTATGTATGTATTACAGTATTCTAAGGTTTATTATATACATAAAATGCACAAGGACAAATATCGAAACCAGGAAACAATTATTTGTATGACATACTTGTTCTCTTGACATACTTTTTGTTGAGCCCGCAGCCCTAAGAACTGCAACTCAATGCTAAGCCACTGCGGTATGGAGCCGTCTTCGACTCCACATATATTCGTTTAAAAGGTTATATTGTTACCTAATTAAGTAATAATACAAGAAAACTTTGTCTTTGAACATTCAACTTAATTTTATAAAACCATCTTAATATACACAGACGTGGCGATACATGAAAATACTATCTATTTAGTCATAAATATATTTACTCATAAATATATAGAGAGAATACTTAACAATTTTTTTAGATGGAATAGTAATTGTCTTAAAGATTAAAGTTTTTTTAATAACATTTTGGCCGCTACGTATGTGACGGATGGATGTGTAAATAACGATGATGCGGAAATAACTTAAGGCAACGTTGCAGTACATTTCAGTTTAAACTTTTTTGACCTTTTTAATTCTTATCATCATCATCATTACAGTATTTCGGAAGTCTGTAGGAGTAGGAGGGATCCCTTTTCTAGAGATATCGCTTCTCTAATACCTCAAAACTGAACCTAGCAACAGTTGAATGTGGAAGAATTATACAATCCAAATAATTTCTAAATAATAAATAAGAAAAAGAAATAAAATTAAATTAAAAATGAGTATAAATATATGCAATATGTTCAACAGAATAAAATAAAAATTAATACAGTTTTCAACAGACTCGTTATTGAATATCTTAATATATATAAATTAAGTGTCACGTTGTTTGTCCGCGATGGACTCCTAAACTACTTAACCTTGGTTTTTTTGCCCATGAGTGACCCACAATTTTTTTTTGCGATTTTTAATAGGACATGACATAGGGTCGTCGAAAAGGGCAGAACAATGTCTGCCTGGCAAGCTAGTTAATTATAAGTTTCTATTACTTACTGCCCTTTATATTAGAGATAGAGATATCAACATACCGCTCTCTTCAGTTGCGCGCGCTTGTTGAATGTAAAGCATTCCGTCTTCCAAAATTGATGACACGGGAGTGCCCCAGTTTATAATCCCACGGGATAGGAAGTGCTCCAAAGCTTCAGCAGCTGTACCAAATGCCTAAAAAATAGTTAGATACAATTAATAGCAAGAATGTTACATGTGAAAGTTATTCGGTTGTAGATATTGGAAATTAAATTCAAAACACCCATACTATAAAGCCAGTTTTATAAGTTGACAATCCCGTTGATCTAGCTGTTGTAAACGCGACTGTTGATGATGTGGCCCCTGGAGTCAAATCCCGGGTCAGGCCAAAATCAGTTATTAAGCTTCTCTGTCAAGAAATAGTCAGTAGCAGCCTGAAATTAGGAAGTTGGGGATGTTTCACCCTTATGCCTCGGAAAGACCATAAAGCCTTGCGCCTGATCTTTCCCTAACTATGAGAGAAAAACGAGGGCACCTGTGCTTGTACATACACTCGGACACTATAATCCTGTCTTGCGCAATAGGTTACCCTCCGTTAAGACTTACCAACTTGATCGAACTTCCTATTCGAAGTAAAATAAATAACAATGAAAACTGCCTGGCTAATAGTTGCATAACATTTTTACTCACATTGTGTAAAAGCAAAATAATTTTATTTAAATATGATAAGTTATCCCAGTTTCTTTTTTTCTAGATTCTTCCGTCTTCTACACTACATGACCACACATGAGGTCACTTTTGTTAAATATTACATGATATTTTTTGTATGTACAGATCTAAATCAATCATAATGATACACACAAATGTCAATCACAAGAGTGCGCGCACACTTGACTGTCATTACCATGATGCTACTTTTTGAGCAGAATTCGACTTCTACAGTTTTTAGAGTTTGTTGCCCAAGTCCTATATTTATACAGTTTATGGTAAAGTTCCAAACTTTAAGGAGGCCTAAATATATGTCAAAGGCACAGCGAATATGCTATGTTGCAAGTTGACAATGCGTTTTCCACAAATATTGACTGGATTTAGCTGGGATTCGAAGCTGCCATGGGTTCAGCTTGGTATTTTTTTTAAAGTAAGCATAACAATTGAGCACACAGTCTTCTAGTAAGTGGATGCTGTGACCCATAGACACTTACATTTATACTCAATAAAAAAATAAAATTCAGAGGCGTTGTCACGCCTGATATTAAGGTGATATGCCTCATCTCATTACCGGTTAAAAGGGTATCCTGTTATCATCACATATTATATGAAATCGAGTGGCTCTACCGGCCATAGACAATGATTTTAATGAATGTTTATTTTATTACATTTTTTTATAGGATAGGATGACAAACGAGCACACAGTCCACCTAATGGTAAGTGGTTGCTGTGGCCAACATGTGTGGCTACATTTATCCTCGATAACAAATCAACATGCAGATGCGTTGTCATCCGTGAGGACTTAGATGGAATGCCTCGTTTCCAGTAAAAAGGGTCTCCGGTTCTCTACACTCACCATACGAAACACAACAGCATTAAGCTACTATTTGACGCTGGTATTCTGTGAGAGCGTGGTCCTTCCCCGGTCGAGCGGACCCATTCGTGCTACAACTATACTACTAATATAACTGCAGCATGGCTCTACCACGTTTAAATACATTTTAAATTTTAATTATTTGCTATAAAAATATTCCTTACCGGTTTAATATCATTTTCCAATGCATGTAAAAAGTCCGCGCGCTCCACCATGAGTTTCTCCATGGCCTCCGGGTCAACTTCCACTTTGCTTGAGGCCTTGATGAGTCTATTCATAGCAGTTGACTGTGCAGCCCGCACTAAACCTTCTAGTTCAGCACCAGAGAAATTCTTTGTGAGTGCTGCTAGCTCCTGGAATTTAGAAGAGTTTATTATCATCTTTAAGGCGCACAATAATGTGTGAGAAAAATGTTTGGGACTTGTGAGCTTTCGTAAATTTTAAGCTGTTTGTTTGTGTTCATCAACTTCCTGCATGTCTCATCAAATTGTCCTCAATCTAATGACCACCCTTCACTCTGCCTGCTTGTACGAAGCTTCTTCAACTCAATCGAGGAGAAGTATTAAAAAGAAGTTCCTTGACGTGTGTTGCAGTGTTAAAAAATTCTTCATTCATTTTCTTCGTGTAGCTACCGTAAGAATTGAATAATATCCCCCCGGAAGATTTTGCCTTTGAAAGAAGGCTGTTGTAATCATCTCCGATACAGAAACCAGGATCAAAAGAACGAAACTTCCAGCAATGTTGTTGCCAATGCACTGTTGAGCAGGGCAGCATAATATATACTAACCTTTTTTACTTTCTTTTCAATGTTTGGGAGCGTGTAAGGATGCATATGAGCGAAGGTAATATCTAGATCTCTGATAGTGAATGCAAGTAAGACGAAAGTGATGGTTTTTGGAAGAAGAGTGGTTTGCAAGATGATGTTTGTGACCAGTATTAAGAAAATGCTTCGGTGGTTTGGTCATGTGGAAAGAATGAACGAGGAAAGAGTAACAAAGCAAATCTATATTGAAGATGTTAACGGCAGGAAAGGGAGATCCTAGCTAGAAGGTTTATCGACCAAATTGGCGATATGTTAAAAATGGACCAAATTAGGAATACCCTTAACAAAAGAGTACATGTATACATATTGATTAAAACTACTTTTACGGATTTTATAGCGTTTATTTATTTTATTTTTAATACTATATGATATGTTTGGGTTTAGTTTTAATTTTATTAATTATAGGATCCCAAGCAGGTGGTAGTACCCAGCCTCCTTCTCTATTGAAATTAGGATGTTTTTTAATTTCAATAGCCTCACATATCATCCTTGGTAGGAATCGATGTTCTTTCGGCGGCACCACCTTGATATTAAATTTTATGGGTTGACTGGTAAATAATGCCTCAAGGCATTAAGTCCACCCTTGTATTCTTATCATTGAGAAATACTATAAAGAATAAATAAATAAAAAAAATATTTGAAAGATCTCATAGCAGGGAAGTTAAACTGTTAGTAAAGTGAAAAAGAAAAAGGAGGGGGGGGGGGGTTCTCAATTCAACTGTATTTTTTATGTGTGTTACCTCAGAACTTTATTATAGGGAAACAGGTTTTGATTATTATTTTTTATATATGAAAGCTAGTGCTTCTCATGGAAAAGTAAAATTAAAATACAGTTTTTATAAAAGAGGCACTAGTCGTGAGCACACACTTTATCATTTTATGTCATGTTTCTTTGGTGATGCAAAAGGGTTCCAAGTGGTAACATTAAACAATCCTACGCTTGCACTTGCATCACAGAACCCCTTCCCCCGCTTATTACTGTCACTTGGTGCTTGCGACTCGTGCCCCTATCTCTATAAACTATAAAGTAGGAAACTTTTCCTCAACAAACTTTATTATCGACGTCCTCTGCAATCTTCTTGTACTCTCGCATGCGTTTGGTGTGAATGCTCAAGATTTGTATGCGTCCGTTCTCGTCGGGCAAGCCGATCTCCATTTGGACCTCAAGTCTGCCCGGACGGAGCAAAGCTTCGTCGATCATGTCACGTCTGTTGGTCATACCGATCACCAAGATGTTGTTTAGTTGATCAACGCCTGAAAAAATATTTTTGTTTAATTTTTTTTTATGAAATCAAAGCAACAGGCAAGCTAACAGTTCATCTGATAGTAAGTAATTATATATAGTATAATTAGAACACAATTTTTGTACAACCTAGTAGTCACGGGTATTTTTTTCTCTCTGTTTGTTTGTTTTATATGTTTTACTTACCATTGGGATTTATTTGTGATTTATTGATACGGACCTCTGCTCGAACTACTCTAAAGAGACGAAACGGGCCACACCGTTGGTTCGCTACGCCAAATGCTGAGTGCGACCCCTTTTCGTCACATTCGACATCGTCTATTCTATATTATTTTTGAAAAAAAAAAAAGCTTAGAAATAACATAACTACGTACCACATGGCGTTTTGCCTGTGGCGATATAAGCATTTTCTTTCTTTCCTTCTTTCTTTGTAATTATTGCACACCATGTATACTTGGAAATATGTATAAAAAAGAAGGTTACAGAGCAGTGGTGTAGCGCGTGCTACTACCATTACCTATTACCCATACCCATTATCTATTTTTACAAGATTTTAAAATCAATAAGACTCTTCTAGAGCCTTTGTAAAATCTCTATATATAAAAAAGTAATTGCTCTCCGTTAGTCTCCCTAAATCTCTAAAACAGCTCGAACGATTTTAATGAAAATTTTTGTGTACGTTTGAGTAGGTCCCTGGATGGTATAGATTCAGTACAGACCCGCTAGGTGGCGCTGTTGTCGAGGTCCAGATCACACGTGCGAGGCCGGGCCGGATCGCTTGTATTTAATAATGAATAAAAGTGTTTGTTACACTTATTACCAACTCTTTGCGAGCTAACTTTCTTTCCCAAAATACCGCCCCGTAAAATCTGCCTCACAAGGCTATGTAAGGAACGCCATTGCTTGTGCATTATCATATAGTTAGGATTAAAAATTAAAGAATAAGTGCTTAATTTGTTACCTTCAGACCGGAACACATAAGTAGGTGCACTCAAGTTCGTTGCCAGCCGATGGTCTAGGGAGGGGGGGAGGGTAAATTCACATAAAGACGATGTGAAAGTGTATGTACTTTACATTTCAATTTCAAGTCTTACCTCTACAGCGATTGTAATAAGCACGGTATAAATTGCAATGTGCAAAGCTCTTGACTGTACAATAAAAAGACTGGTTTCTTTGAATTTGACTTTATGTTTCCGAGTCTCTATAAAGGAGGGGGGTGGGGGAGGCAGCAGCTGCCCCTCCTCGCGACGCTCTTAGGTGCACTGTGTATATGTATTCTTACTGTGTGTATGTATTCTCATAGTCATAAGAGATAGGTAATAAATAGGCTGCGTTTGGCAGAAAAAAGCGCTAGCAAGCGCTTGTAAGCAAAATAGCGATCGTAGGCGGTAAGCGCTCCCCCCGAACGGGTTCCCGCCTTGTCGTGGCGGGGGGGCTTAGAAGCCGTGGCTTGGTCACCCACGGCGAAACAAAGAGGAACCCATATGGCTGGTCCAAGGTGGAGGGCCGGCCCGAGGTGGCCACTCCGAGTGGGCTTGGGGAGCCCACTTCGGATGTGTGTTGGTGGACTGCGGTGAGAGGTGTGTCCTCCCCACCTACCGCTGCAGCCGAGGTGGAGTCGCGGAGGAAGAGGAGTGTTGGTATGGCGATGCGCCACTCGCCCTATCCTCCGCAACTCAAACGGGGCCGCACCGTTGATGCGGTGGTGGTGGGGCTGCAGGGGGAGAGGATTGTCGGTATTGCGAGGCGCCGCTCTCCCTACCCTCCGCAGCCGAATCTTGGTTGGCGGCGGAGCCATAGACCAGATCCGCCGCTGGGGTCGGGAAGGCTAGTACTTCTAAGTGCTTGTTTTTCCTGGCCCCATGGCCTTCTTGCATTGGACGCGGGGGCGTCCGTTGCGCAGATGTAATTAGAGGCCGAGAAGGAAGGCGCGCCATGTGTTCTGGTGCGCCTTACCTGTGAAGGAGAACGGGGTGGAATATTCCGCTCCCGAGGAGGTGCTGCCATGGGGCGGCAGGCGCTGGTGGGGCTGCGGATGTGTGCGAAAGCGTTCCCGTGGCCCTGCCAATAGCGACAAAGGTGGAACACCATGGGGTTTTAGTCGGTGCGAGTCCGACATAACCCGTCCTTGCCCCTGCGAGGCGGGTATGCGTAGGCATTTCCCCATGTACAAAAAAAAAGGCGGTAAGCGCTGTCAAATCGTAAGTAGCTATTTTCCTCTAGGACACTAAGTTAGTTTTAACCGAGGAACCTAACCTAATTTAAATATATGTTTGTAAATTATTCATATTAAAAACTTACCAATCATAAATTTTTAATAACATGTATATGTTTATTCATGTCATTATATTATTTAAAACTAATATTGCACAAAACAACTTGTAAACTCTACTTCAAAACAAACAAATTAAATAAGCAAAATAGCGAATTGTGTCAGCGCTACTGAAGTTAGCAAACGTGTCCTGGCCGAAAACTGTATCGCTTGCTAGCGCTTTTTTCTGCCAAACGCACTCATAGAAATAGAAAGAATAACGCTAGTCAATATCATTGCAACATATCACAAGTATTAAGTACTACTGAATAATCTAAATAATCTGAATAAATATCATCAGATTGTCATTCCGTCTAATGCTGCTCAAGCTACACTGCACTTGCCAGTATAATGATCCAATGACAGTCCAGCTTCATTAATCTGAGGTCACAAATTGTTGAATTTATACTCCGTTCTCCAAAGAGCTATTTAGATAATGTACTAAACTATCTATTGAGGTAAAGCCAGCTATAATATAGCTTCAGCTATATTATGGTATTCCAGTACATACGGATCGACTCGACCAAGCAAGGACCATGCTCTCACAAAACACCAATGTAAAATAAGCACATTAATGCTGCTGCGCTTCGTGTGGTGAGTGTATAAACCGGGAAGCCTTTTTACTAGAAAGTCTTGAACGAGACATTCTATTTTAGTCTTCAGAGGTGACAACGCATCTACATTTTGATAAATCGAGGATAGATGTAGATATCTATGAGCCACAGCATCCACTTACGATCTGACGGACTGTGTTCTCGTTGGTTACCCCTATTCTATAATAAAATTATTTTAATTTTCCACAAAAAATTTGAAATTCTACTGAAATTAAACCTTTCCTATTTTAAATTATTGCACCTAGTTATGGTCTTAGGTTTATGGTTTAATTAGGATCTTTTATATTTGAAATATACATTTAATTGCCGATAGCAATATCTTTTTGACTTGACAAAACATGTGGAGATTTGCCGTAGTCTAGTATAATATTAGATGGACACAACAATTCGTCTTCTTGCATACAACAATAGACACATGTTTTTACTAACGAAAAATAAAATAAGCAGTACCTGTACATTAATATTTGTCTACTTGTTGCAATACAACAATTTCACCTTTCCAGGTGCGAGCTCTAGGACTGCGAAACTTTGCATGTTAAACCTTGAGAATATTAATCTATAAAAAATATTTTAAAATTATAACATTTCAGAAATAAAAGCAGAGTTAAAAGTTTATTTACTTTAAGTATAATTACCATCGATCTTCGAGAGCAGCTGGTTGACCACAGTGTCGTGTACCCCAGTGTTTCCACCCACAGAGCCTCGGGCCTTGCAGATAGCATCGATTTCGTCGAATATGATGATATGTAAGCCGCTGTTGGGTCCACACTTCAAAACGAAAAGGAATATACATTTGTCTGTCACACTGTTATATATTTAGAAATTAATCAAGAGGAAATACATATGTGTTATATTGTTGTTCTGGTTCCATTATGTATTTTGTCCGTTAGTCTCGCGAAACCTCGAAAAAGGCGGGACCGATATTGATGAAATTTGTTGTACGTGTTTGGTGAACCAGTAGGTGGCGCTGTTGTCGAGATTCAGAAATCCCCCGTACGAAGCCGGGGCCGATCGCTAGTAAGTAATTTTCTATTTTATTTTATTCAAAGTGGAACAGGTAACAACTACATTATGGGTATGTTCCGAAATACAACGCAGTGTACTGTCCAATGCAAATGACGTCATGAATCGACGCTATCCTGGTGATTCGTTCCAAAACATTGGACAGTATATGACGTCATACTTTTGCGCCATTTGGAAAAGTGTTGGCGATTATTTTGTCATTTTGTGCTCCAAAAATCATTATATCCTCCTAATGGATATACCATCAATTATTCTATAATTTTTTGTATTTGAATAAATAGAAACAAATTCTGGCATGCTTCATTCGGCAAACACACAATTAAAAATTGTTTTATTATGGCCGGATATCCGACACAATATGGCGGCGGTACGCTAGTACAATAAAGTGTCAAATGATGACGTCATTTGCATTGGACAGTACACTGCGTTGTATTTCGGAACATACCCTATATATATTACATATAGTTAGTACAGTAACTTAATATACGCAATAATGCAGCCCACAGTGCTGTTCACAGATTACCTCTTGGGATAGATAATTAAGACGCTAGATACCTGCAGCTGTACAGAAGATATTATACAAATGTCAAATTATGGTCAACAATGATATTATTATAATGTGACTAAGGTAATAAAATTATTATTTGAAAAGTATCTTGTATAAAAGACCACTAAACTTTTCCTTTGAGCATGTAAAAATGTCTATATGCTCAAAGTCTCATTATATGTGACCATAACCAAACGCCGAATCGATGAAGGAATACCGGTATTGGATCGACAGGTACTTGCGGCAAAGACTTTATCCGCACGCACCCGTCGTCTATGGACAGTTCTGGGAACTACATAACATAACAGATTGTTTAACTCAATACAGTCAAATTTGCATTTACTATATGAAACAATGTCATAGACTCCAATTGCTTACGTCTAGAGTGGAGGGTTAGAAGCTTGTATCTACTGAGTAACTGGTCATACGGTAAATAAGATTTATGACATCTATAATGCATTGCATGTAGAAACCGGCGTTGAACATTTTCAATTTTGTGTACATATTTATTATAATAAGGATTCCAAATGGGCACAGCATATTCAAGTTGAGAGTGAACTAGGGTTTTATATAAACAAAGATATAAAGAGGTCCGTTTGAAGTCGCGAGTTGATCTCATAATAAATCTATATACAGTTATATACAGTTTAGTTTAGTAGTTTGTATGCTTTGTTTACAGTTTGTTCAATATGTAAGTTTAAGCACAGTTTAGAATCAAACAGTATACCGAGGTCTCGCACAGAATCCACTTGAGCTAAAGGAAAGTTACACAATGAGTACGAAAATTTAATAATATTCTTGTTTTTAGTAAAACTGAGATATTTACACTTCGGAATACTTAATTGAAGCTTATTTTTGCATCAATGGTCTGCCAGTCTATCTAGGTCCTTTTGGAGAAGAATGCAGTCTTGTGTAGTATGGATAGATTTATAAACTTTAAGATCATCTGCATATAATAAAAATTTAGAGTTGAGAAAACAGTTACTTATGTCATTAATAAACATTATAAATAACAAAAGCCCGAGAATAGATCCTTGAGGTACACAGGAGGTAACCATCGTAACGTTAGAGTGGTATCCATTGATTACAACCCTTTGACAACAGTTAGTGATATAAGAAACAAACCATCGTAACAAATTACCCCGAATGCAAAATATAAAAAAAAATATATATATATATATATATATATATATAAAATACAATACAAGAAATATAAATATTTTTGATTAAAAATATCCATTCATAACAGGTTGTAAGTAAGTCCATTTCGGAATATAGGCCTCTCCCATATGCCTTTTACGGGGGTTTTGCCATAGTTGCCACGCCACGCAGTTTTTTTAGTATTTTGAGTAGTTATTAGAAAGATAGCTGTTGCCTATTTCCTGTTTCAGTTTCCCATTATCGCCTCTTACAACTCTACGATATGAGGTAGTGGACATACTTACACTTCTCGGTTAAATAATCTACTCTCAAATAAGCGACATACCCTTTTCTCCTCCTCCTCGGCATCGGCAAACAAGCGCCTTACGTTGGCTTCACTCTCACCAACATATTTGTCCAATATTTGTGGACCGTTTACAATCTTTGGTTCGCGAGCGTTCAACATCTTTCCGATTTGACGAGCCATCAAGGTTTTACCCGTGCCGGGAGGTCCATATAACAAGATACCTTTTACGTGCTTGCATCCTGAAAATAATATACAATATACAATATTTAATCAATGGAAAATATGTTAAACATATATAACTTATTAGGAACAAAAGGTTCACCCGATAATTTAGGTTTTTTAATGGTTTCCTTAGTATATTTTCCAAAATAAAAGGAAAAAATTAAGAACAACTTAAAGTATGTCAACGCCTAATATTTGAAAAACGGTATTTTGGACATACAATAAAAAAAGCTATTAAAATTCTTTCTCGCGTATGCAGATCTCTTAAAGGATAAAATAATGATTCTATGATGTAAGATCTTTTATTATTTTATACAAAACATTGATCACATTACCCAATTGCTCCACAACTTCTGGAGGGAAGACTCGTGATGCAAACGCACGTCTGAATATAGCATTGAACTCCTTGTCCAGACCACCGATCCCCATTTTGCCGAAGTCCCAGTCAGGGTTGATAATGGATTGTCGTGGTTGTTTTCTGTATGTAAATTTTTAAGCTTTTAGAATAAGTACATATTTTTTTTATAGTTTTCAAGCACGAAGTCCTCCTTTTTATGGAATATGAAAGAAAAATAATGAAATATTCACATGTACAGTATGTATTTTGCTAAATCAGAACTCGGTAGATTTAACTTTTTTTAATCTAATTTCTATTTTTAATTAATTATTCATACTTACCATTATTTTTAATACGAAAAAGTGTCAAACGGATGGACATTCCACTTGTTATCATTAGATGAATACTGCAGCCTAAATGGGCTGCTGTGACAATATCACCAAAAGAAATATGATTGAGCATTGTTACTCCTGAGTATTGGGTGTTGTTACTTATTTTATAATTTTTTAAGTATAAAATGAAACTAATTTCTGAATTGATTTGGAGCAATGCTCTTATTAAGCTATCTCTCGAAAATTTCTAATACTTACCCTTTAGCTTTTCCGACCAAGTTAAGAGAAGAGTTTTCCGCTTTGTCGAACTGAATACAGGCATCGGGCAACAATCTTCCCATTCTGCATCTTCGCGGTACTGCATTTGCTCCTGATGCCAACGCTTGTACATCCACGGCTAAGAAGTACAAAAAAATACGATAAGTTCACGGTTATATAAGATTTTTTCGTTTCCCGTAACCGTTGCAATGAATAAGTGATTACAATATCGTAATTTATTTCCTTTCATTTGTGAAATATCAAAGCTTTTTCGTTTTTTTTACATTTCCCGTAACTAGGATTTTCTCCTGTATCGTAGGGACAGTTTACAAACATAAATTGCACAAGGACACACAAACATCCAGACCCGACACAATTATTTGCAGACATTACAAATACTCGTTCCGTGCGGGATTCGAACCCGTGGCCCTTAGCGCTGTAAATAAAATATTATACATAAAATCGTATTCAGTCCGCGAATTTCCATAAAATCAGAAAAAAAATCCAGAATAACATAATAAAAAACAACATAGTATTTTAAAATCAATATATATATACAAAATCAATAGGTGAATACTCTCATTAAAGAGGTTTTCAAATAACTTAGCAACTTTAACAAACTTTCCTGTCTGCGAAAAAACACAATAGTACAATCGAAATTTTCGTAGCTCTAAGCTGCGTATCGACTTCGCGCGGCTGCTGCGCGAGCATTGTTCGCCCGCGGCAAAGCTGTGTTTTGGCTCTTTGTTTGACTTTTGGTTGCCTGGAAGAGATCGCTATGTAGCGATAAGGCCGCCAAATTGTACATGTAATCTGCTCTCTGTTATGTTCTTTGTAAATTTGTTTGTGGTGTGCAATAAAGTATATTCATTCATTCATTCATTCATACATGGACGTTGTACGTAGGCGAAGTGCAACAGGCAAGCCCATTTCTGCACTGATTTCATTCCAAGCATCTTTTCTTAACGATTTGTTGTGATAATCACTACATTTACTGTTCCATAGAAATTGTTTAAAGTTACAGCCTATATACGTCCCACTGCTGGGCACAGGCCTCCCCTCATTTCTGAGAGGGTTTTAGGGCAAGGAAGTGTCCGCCGCGCTGCCCCAATGCGTGTTGGTGAACTTCACATGTCTTCGAAATATTTTTTTCTTATTTCTCAGACATGCAGGTTTCCTCACGATGTTTTCCTTCACCACCGAGCACGTGGTAAATCAGCACTTAAAATTGCATTTAACAATTTCATTGGTGCCGGCGGGGATCGAACCCGGGTTACTCGCATTCTGTTATATTTACAGCGAGCGTTAACCATCTGAGCTACCACGGCTCTTCTAGAAATTGTTTAGTACCATATAATCTAATTGAAGTACAACACTTGTCCATCCATGTTTTTCCCGCGCGCGCCAACTAAAATACGTAAACGAATTGCGCGAGCACAGCTCGCTGAGGCTCCTTTGCCACACCGTCAAAAACCGACACGGATTGGTTCGTCACGCGACACGTTCGAGCGCGCCAATGTTCGATTTGCCGCGCGCGGCAACACAGTATCCACTGTGCGCGGCTGCCGCGCGAGCCAATGTTCGGTGGTTTGCCGCGCGAACTCGATACGCAGCTTACGGGGACAGTAAAATGGTTAAGGTTAGGTTAGGTTAGCTAATTCGATGTGTGGACTGGGACTCTATAGATTTAAAGTTTTTGACTTTTAGAACGATATAAATCAAACAAATATTTTTGTAGATAATGTAAAAAGTTTTTACATTCACTTGATAAATAAGAAATCGGATCGGGAAAAAAGATAGACTGCACGTATTTTCAAGTGACGCACACATTTGCACTTAAAACCATGTTGTTATGTAAATTATTTTAGGTTGTGTGTGTGATAAACAAAAATATAAAAAAAAAACCAAGCCACCCCACACCTGTGTGTGTGTGTGTGTGTTTTTACAATCAGATGAGCGTGGTTTCGGCGTCATTTGAAATGTACATAGTGTTTTGTCTACATTTCTTTGTAGGTCTGAGAATTCGGAGTAGAAGCATCCATCACTCCATGTCGTATTGTGGTTCTCTTAAGAGGCAAATGGATGAGCTAAAAAGATCTTATGGCCTTCGATAAATAGCAGTACAACGATAACGTATAAGCCAGATGCAAAATATCTAAGATCTTATGCCTATGATACATAGAGGTATCACCAGCTCGTATATATTTATTGCGGCACGTAACTCTAGCGCTGAACGAAACGTGAAGGGGATAGCTGCGAATGTCGTATAAGTACGGGGGACGGAATGCGACTGGAGAGTCAATCAACGCAGAAACGATACGCACAGCCAATTATACGCAATAATGCGCAATACAGCCAGTTATGCGCAATTTCCGTCACCGCTAGACTTTCGTGCCGCGAGTTGTACCAGATGCAAAATACCCAGGCCGACGACGGGGAATAGTGTCAAAATTACATAACATCAGGGGAGCCGCATGCTCGTTTGGCCCATCTCCCATAAAAGAGACATCAATTACTTCGATAGCCACTACTCGATCCATCCATCTGCCACTGCGATTGGATTATGGCGCATCCTTCTCACCATGAGAGAGACCTATACCCAGTAGTGGATTGTTACGGGCTGATAAGATGGAAGATGGAGAGATTATTTGAAACTCGCCAAGTTTGTATCTGATTCAGTCGAAATGCATACATTCGGACAGATGATCAAAATGAAATTATAGGGATTCACTGTGTGACAGCGAAACCTAAGACAGACTTTAGTCCAATTTTATTATGTTAGCTATTTACATCAATGACATTTGATTTCCTTGCTGTCCAGACCCGAAAATAAGTAATTATGTAGAGTACGAATACTAGCAGACTGTAATTGTATTCGAATACAGGACCAAAGAAGCAGTAAATTGGAATTAGCGTTATGCAAATTATATTTAATTGTCAGTAACAGATAAAGTTACAGCCTATATGCGTCCTACACCTGACACAGGCCTTGTCTCCTTTCTCGAGAGGTTTTAGCGCAAGAAAATGTTCGCCGCACCGCCCCAATTCACAATTGGCGAACTGCACATGTCTTCGAAATATGTTTCTTTCTTATTTTCTCAGACATGCAGGTTTCTTCGCGTTATGTCCCTCCACCGCCGAGCACGTCGTAAATGAGCACTTAAAATTACAATTAACAACAATTTCATTTTTGCCAGCTGGGATCGAACCCGGGTTGCTGCGAACTTCGAAACTTACAGCGAGCGCTTAGCCCCTGAGCTACCACGGTTCTCTATTTTTATTCTGAGCTATTATGCCATATTAAATTGCATTCTCATGAAATTTTACATTTTAATGTCTTTGTATACAAGAAACTTACCTTCTAAATTCTTGACAATCAATGATAATACTTTTTTGTCCTGAAATGAAAATGCCAGTTGTTGTCCAACGGTGAAGATCTGATTGGAAAACTGAATGAGGAAGTCGCGTGCCATTTGTTCTGAGTCATATGGTTCTAAGGAAGTGCTAAAAGAAAAAAGAAAACAAGTCGGTTACGGCCTTATAAAAACTGCTACTATATATTAAAAGTTAGAAATACGTGAAATTAAAAAAATACCAATAGTACTAGTCCTAATACCGATTAAATTTAGTACTCAAAATAATACAAAGCAATAGACTAAAATCACATTAAATTTTAAAATATAATGCTCCTTTGGCTTTGCTGTAGTCGGATAAAATTTATGCCCAACACACACACTCACACACACACGAACGCACATGCGTTCACACGAACACACATGAACGCACATGCACCCACACGCACGCGCACACATAAACTCACACACCCACGTGTGCAAGCACACGCTTACACCCGCGCGCGCACACATATACACACACTAACGCACGCGCGCGCATACACACACATACACACACACACACACAAACATGCACTCAGACGAATAACTTATGTCGCCGTTTCCGCCACTTCAGCTACACAAGGGGCTTTGTCCTTCCTTCGACCACAAGGGTCATAGATGTTAGTAATAATAAATATCTTAAAACTAATTTTAGTAAAACTTAAAACTATTTACTTAATTTTAAAACTATATCTAAGACAAGCCCGATTAGTCAGCACGTGCACCATATGACAATGGTTCAGGTACTGACCTCAAACCTGTCAGAAAATGCCCTCAGGATACCATTCGAACTGGCCCGCACCCTGCGCAACAGGGATGTGCATCGTTTATGCATCGTGGTGTAGAAACAATTCACACGCGCATCCGCAAAACATACCCCGCGCATTACAATAACGAGGCAGACCCAACAGCACCCAGAATACATTATTATATTGAACACGCATTAAATCTGTAGCTTGTACCGCCAAAGATACGAAACGGCAACGTCGCGGCTGCTTTCAGCCAATCCGATCGTTTATCTTATCGTTTGCTGTGCTCTGGTTGGCTCATTTAAATCGGATCAACATTTTCCGTAACCATCGCAAGGTGGATTTGTATATCGGAGCAACTTCGGCAAACGCTGGCAAACAGTCTCGTGAGTGCAGATGTTGATCCGGTCGGAGCGACATTAGTTACCAGAGATGCATATTGGATCAACAAAAGGCGCCGGATCAACATGCGTTTTTGGATCAACAAAGTGCTCGCGTGAAGTCGCGTCTGATCAACATTTACCGTAAAGAGATCTATATATATATATATATATATATATATATATATATATATATATATATATATATATATATATAGAAGAGGGGCAAACGAGCATGCGGCTCATCTGATGTTAAGTGACTACCGCCGCCCATGATTAACCGCAACACCAGGGGAATCGCAGGTGCGTTGCCGGCCCTTTAGAAAGGAGTAAGCTCTTTTCTTGAAGGTCCCCAGGTCGTATGGGTCCGGAAAAATCGCCGGTGGTAAACTATTCCACAGAGAGGTTGTACGCAGAAGAAAACTCCTTTTAAAACGTACAGTGGTGGACCGCCAAGCATCCAGATGGTGTGGATGGTATCGGGTCGTGTGCCGCGTAGTGCGTTCACGAAATTTGGCGGCTGCGATTAATCCGAACAATTCCTCAGAGCACTCTCCATGGTATATGCGAAAGAAAATGCAAAGAGATGCAACATCTCTTCGCAGCGCCAGGGAATCAAGCCGACGGAAAACACTCGGTCGTCGACGATTCGAGCCGCTCTGCGCTGGATACGGTCAAGTGGAAGGAGCTGGTACTGGGGAGCCCCAGCACAGAGATGGGAACAACCCACTACCTCCCATGGCCCCACCGACCCTCAGGTCATACGGGCCGAATCTCAGGAGATGCGCGCGGTACTTGCACCTTGCTCTTTCCCGCGCGCACTTTCTTGACTCCCTAAAAATATTTATTCTATTCCTTGTCCCAGTTTAACGTCATTCTCCCCCTTCTGGGACTGACGGCACAATAACGCCTACGTCGTCAGGCCTTACTACCAGCATTCTATCTTACCTTATCCTGCGATCGTGCCATCTATGCGCAAACTCGCGCAACAGTCCGTAGTTCACCCCATCGCTGACGAGATCCAAGTAGTAAATCGGTCCCTGAACCGTTCGAACTAGTCCATCCATCATTTTCGTTCTCAGGTCGTCATACAGAGGACATTCCCATAGAACATGGTGAACATCCTCTTCTGTCACACCACACTCACACATACCAGTATCACACAGTCGCATGTCGCACAATCTCTACCGAAAACATCCATGTCCGGTGAGAATCTGGGATGTTTGATAATCCGGTGAGACCCAGGTATACCTGAGTCTCAACGCCACCTCCGGGAAAAAGCGATATAGTTCGCGTCCTTTCGTATCATTCATCCATCGTTCCTGCCAGTCACCTATCACCTCAGTCCAGATTTCGCGCTTTCGTCTGCTCAACTCCTCTTTGGGCGCGGTCAGACGTGCCACACCCATCCTACCAGCACGGATGACCTCCAGGTCAGCTGGGAGGACTCCAGCCAGCACCGGTAAGGCCGCCGTGCTAGTGGATCGGTACGCCTTGGTCAGCAATACAAGGGCGGATCGTTGCGATCTCAGTAGTACGCTACGGACTGTATAAATGTTCGCTCGCTCGTACCAACACTCTGCCGCATACGCAAGTGTGGACACAAACACTCCCCTGTGACCAATTTTTAAACTCGGGTATCGCACGCCCCATGACGATGTCGATACGCGAGTTATCTTGCCGAATCCCTTGGTCGCTCTTTCAGAGATATCAGTCGCATGTTGCACAAATGATAGTCCTGAGTCCAAAACCACGCCTAGTACCTTAGCGGTAGTCACAGTCTTGATAGATTCCCCACCAAGTTTAATAACGGGGGGGCGCTGAAGTTTCCCTCTAACAGTCATGGTGGTTGACTTTGAGGAGGAAAACTTCAGTCGATTCCTCAGCCCCCACTCCCGTACAAGGTCCAGAGTGACCCTGGCCCTAGATTCGATATCCGCTCTTGTATCCGATTCATCAAGATTGTGACATCATCAGCATAGGCAGTCATGACAACTTCCTCAGGCAGAGGGAGTCGGAGCAAATCGTCCATCAACAAGTTCCACAGTGTTGGGCCCAGCACAGAGCCTTGAGGATATCCCATGGTCGAGGTCTTCCACTCAACTCCAGAGATGGGAACAGTATTTCATGTGCGGCCGAACCTGCGCCTTGTAAAGTTGCAGGCGGTGTGCCAGCTTGAAATGCTGTCCCGCTCTGCTGAGCACGCCAAGCTTTTTAGAGGCCAATTTGGCCTTCTCTTCCAAGCGACCACGAAACTGCACGTCACTCGATATTTCGACGCCGAGGATTCCGATACTGGCTGAGGCAACAAGGGGAGTGCCTTGAAACTAAGGAGATACGACAAAGGGGTTCTGTTTAGCGGTTAACGCGCAAACTTGTGTCTTCGGGGGGTTAAACTGGACTAGATTTAGTCGCCCCCAATCCGCCGTATTGGCGATCACTAATCAGCTGGTGATCCTCAAGGTATCTCATGAGCTGGCAGTTTACAATGGACTCCATTGATTTGGAGAACAAGGAGGTGATGGCGATGGGCCGGTAGTTGGACGGGACTGAGCGGTCGCCCTTTTTAGGGATCGGGTGGACAAAAGCCGTTTTCCATGATTGTGGGACTACGCCTAGGGAGTAGGAGTACCGGAAAAGACGCGTTAAAACCGGTGCCAACTCTGGAGCACACGTCCTCATCTCAATTGGGGGGATTCCGTCAGGCCCTCTCGACTTGTGGATGTCCAGGGAGAGGAGTGCTTTGCGAACGAACCGTGCGCTGTGTGAACTGCACTTCCGGCATGGAGCATTCACACCGCGGGATGGTCGGCGGCGTACTCCCCCCGTCATCGAGAGTCGAGTTGGACGCAAAGAAAGAGCCTAGCAGATCGGCTTTCTCCTTTGCGGTATGGGCCAGTGAGTCGTCTTCCCTGTGCAGAGATGAAAGAGATGGCTGACAGAAATTCCCCTGGACAGCCTTGGCGAGAGACCAGAATGCACGGGTTCCAGAAGGAAGGCGAACTAGTTTCTCGCCAATTCTGTCTATGTGCTCTGACTTTGCCTTGACAATGACTCTTTTGAAGGACCTGAAGGCGGAATTATACTTCTTTTTTAGAGCGCTGGTGTTTATATCCCGGGACGTTGATGCGTCAGCCCAGGCTTGGTAGCACTCCTGCTTATAGCATGATGCTATTTTACAAGAGCGACCAAACCATGACTGAGATTTGCCTCCAATGGGCACCACAGAGGAAGGAATAAAAAGTTCCATACCCTGAAGTACCACATCAGCGACAGAATCCGCAACAACGTTGCGAGAAGCAAACCCGCCCCCAAGGGTAGGATGCAAAGAAATACCGCATCCCATCCCAATCGGCTGACCTATAGTGCCAAACACGGCGGCAGCCTGCAGAATGCGATTTCAGCGTGAGTGGCAACACACTCCGGACAAGACAATGGTCCGAGGAGCCTAAAGGGGCGTCGACGGAAATCCGATATCCGTCCGGTTGAGAGGTCAGCAGAAGGTCCAACAGGGAAGGTGCATGATCCTCCACATCTGGAATCCGTGTAGACGAAGTAACCAGTTGTGTCAGACCATATGCCAAGGCAAAATCATGAACAGATCTCCCCGCATGATCGGTTAAACGTGAACCAAGCCATTCGGCGTGATGGGCGTTAAAGTCCCGAGGATCACGATCTCTGCGGAGGGGATCTGCTGTAGCAACGAATCTGTAGCCATTTGGACGTGGTCGAAGAGTCGGTCTGTTTCGGCATTACCGCTATGGGACCTATAGAGGCACCCATAGACGCGCTGATGGTCGTCGCTGTCTACGCGTAGCCAAAGGATGGACAGGTCCGAACCTTCAAGCCCGCCGAGGCGTCGAGAACAGAAGTCCTCTTTGATGTAAACGCAAACTCCAGCCCGAGGCACAAAGGAGTGTTCCAGTTTGTACCCCGGGTAGGAGAGATACGAGACATCAGTCGGAGAGGACACCTGCATC